CCCCAGAGGCCTGCGGGAACCCGCGTCGGCCGCCGGAGACCTCGGAAGGTAGAGGAAACGCTGCGGCGGCCTGTGGTATCGATCCTCGACCCTCGACCCTCGACCCCCGAGGAGGAGGAGGAGGAGGAGGAGAAGGAGGAGGAGGAGTCGAGCGTGCGGAGGGGGAAAGCTCCTGGCTGCCCTCGGCCGCGCGCCCCCGCGCGCCGCCAGCAGCGCACCGCACTCACCTGCTCACAGGCGGCGCAGCTGGTCGTGGAGGACGGGCACCTCCACGAACGTGAACTGGCTGCTGATCGTGATCAGCCCGAGCGGCACTTTGGTGCCGAAGTCGAAGGCCCCGCTTTACGATCGGGGGCTTCTTCATTGTCCTCGAGGCACGCAGCGACGCCTTGGCCACTGAGAGGAGGGCCTCCTCGGAGACCGTCACCTCGCCTCTGAGGGCGCGGTACGTCTTGCAGGCGACCACGATGAGCTCGAAGGCTTCGTTGGACATGCCCGCGAGGCCCAGCTTCGCGATCTCGGTGACCATGGGGGGTGCTCTGCACGCTCTGCCCACAGCGAGCGCCAGGGGCGCGCAGGGAAGATAATGACGTAGCGAGTCTTGGCAGCGGCGGCAGCCAAAGATGCAGAGCTTCTGGCCATTCGGGTGGACGATGCGCCGCGACGTCATCCACGAGAAAGAGATTTTCCTCCTCCACGCGGCGGCCCACGACGGCGGGGGCTTGCGCATGGTCGACTTCATCTGGAAGACCACGTCAGGATTGTAATTGAAAAACTCGGCAAAGTGCGGGAGTTCTGCCGCGATCCTCGAGACGAGGAAGGGGCCGATGGAGCCAGGACCACGAGCGGTGAGTGCAGCAGCATATGCCTTTCGCTGGGCAAGGCCAGCCCGCCCGTCGCTGATGGCTACCGTCGCGCTGGCGACGGCAGGGCGCAGCAGCCCCGACGGGTAGTAAGCGCGCTCGGTCTTGGTCGAGGCGACCTGGCGCAGCAGCTCCACAAACGGTGGCATCTGCCACAAGGGAGGCGAGCGATGGCCATCAGCGTCAACTGGATGCCGCACGCGTCGAGGCCTCCGTGCAGTCGCTCTCGGATCTCGGGGAACTCGCTGAAGGTCGAGGTCGCTGCGCGGACGATGGCGGCCAACGTCGCGAGCTGGAGCGACCGAGGGGAGTGGGCGCCCCAGTCCCTGAGGTGGGGCCAATCGTTGATCCTGAAGGCGCCGTTCGGGAACCGCGGGTCCGATGCGTTGGTCCAGCTCTCGTCCTTGAAGTGCTCGTGCGGCAGCAGCGCGAAGTGGCCGAGGTAGCCGAGGACGGGGATCGCACGGCTGTTGAACAGGGCGGCGGAGCCCATGGACGGGGCGCCACTCGCACTGAACACTGTGGCGCGCCATTTGAACTTGTTGAAGGCTTTCGCGAAGATCCGCTTCTCCGTCGCCCCAGGTCCGAGCAGGAGTCCGAGGCAGGTGAGGCGGTCGCAGATGTTGAAGCCTTTGAAGACGATGGCGACCAACGCACGCGTTGCGGAGCTTGAGGAAGAGCTCGGCGTTGACCTCTCCCGCAAGGGGGATGATGTGGCATTTGGGGGCCTTCAACTCGAGGCCCGCGAGAACATCCATGAGGGCCATAACGTCAGCCAGGTGGGCAAGCTGGGCGACCGCCTTGAGCACTGACACGAGGCCGACGACCTCGTGCTTCGAGAACCATCTCGAGATTCAAGAAGAAGCACGCAGTGCCCATCGCGTAGAGCGCGCCGCTCCATCCGCATCCTTGAATGATGCCCGAGCGGACGTAGAACAAGGGGATGCACTGGCCCGCGCAGGGCGCCATGGCCAGGGTGTCGCGGCACATTGAGTCGAAGCAGTTGGGGGGCCGCCTCGGGGGCGCCCATGGCCTTGAGCGCGAGGCGGATGAACTGGCGCGCGAAGCTGGGGAACGCCTGGGCGATGTCCAGCGACGCGAGCACGGGCAGCACGTCCATCGCGTTGAGGTCGGCGGACGCGATGCGGCTCTCGACGTCGAGCTCTAGGGCGTTGTACCCGAAGTTGCGGCGGCGGATGAACCCGCGCTGCGAGGCTGGGACCACCTCGGCTGCTACCGTGGCTGTCGCAGCGTTCATGGTGCCGCCAATGATTTTCAACGAGGTGTTGCGGAGGCCCAGAGCTCGGACTTTCGAAGGGGCCACGGTGGCAGCCGCTGTGTTCCGAGCCCTCGGGCTCGTCACCCTTGGGAAGGAAGGCCTGGACCGTGGCGTTGAACTCGTCGGGGAGGATGCCGCCGTTGAGCATGTAGCACATGACGCCCCAGAGGGTCTTGGCGCACATCTCGTGGGCGGCCCAGGCGATGCACGGGAAGCCGTCCATCCCAGGCGAGGTCGAGGACGATCGGGAGGCGAACTTTTTGAGCGTCTCGTAGCCGGGCGGGTTGAACTTGTTGAAGTCGATGTTGGGCGAGAACTGAGCGAGGTAGTCGGCGGCTTTGCTTGTGTCGATGCGTCTGCCCTCGAACACTCTTGCTAATCGGGCTCCAGAGCTTGATCCCCTCTGCGGCGCGTGCGTTTGTGATCGACCTTGCGCGGGGCGCAGGCGCCCACGCTGAGTGGCTTGGTCGATGGCTGCTTGTCTCTGGTCGGCGTCCTGGCGGAATAAGTTGCTGGCCCACTCCTCGAATTTGACAGGGTCGATCAACTTGACCTGGTCGCCGTTGAGCGTCAGGTGATCCTGGGCAGCTTGGTGGACACGGAGTAGACGGGCAGCGAGCTTGCGGCCTCGGCGCCAGACTGCTCAGGCGATGGACTTGGCGAGCTGGAGCTGGACGCCCCCGCGATTCGGGGAGGATTCGCGCATGTGGCCGCTGGCTCCCCGTGCGCTCTCGCGCAACAACTCCGCGGCCAGAATGAGTTGAGGCGGCGGCGACAGGTAGCTCATGTCGGTCACCTCGAAGACACTGTCGGCGATCTTCTTGAAGATGGGGGATTGAACGATGGACTGGGCGATTGGCTGGTTCTTGGCAGGCTTGACGCCGTGCGGGAGACGAGGAGGGCAGCATGGTCACTAACATGGCGTCGTGAGAGGTCCTCAGGGGTGGAGAAGGTGGTGGAGTTGACCGTCAGCTGCAGCATCTGAGTGGGCGTGATTGAGCAGAAGCGTCGATCGATAGTCGACTCGGACATCGTCTCAGCGCAGAAGTGAGTGGCGTCGGCCCCCTCGATCTCAACCGGGCGCCGCAACGCGCCGTGCCACTTGCGCGCCGCGGCCTTGGACGTCTCGGTGGCCTCTGCGTTGGCTGTAGATTCGGGTTCAGTGAGCTTGAGCCCCCCTACAGCAGCGAAGTTGCAATTCCCCACGACGAGCAGGATCACCTTGCTCGGGTCCGCTCTTGCGAGGTGCTGGTCGCTAAGGATGCGGGTGGAGATGCGCTTGATAGCGCCGTTGCTTATCTCGTAGCTGTGGATATTGCAGAAGATCAGCCGCTGGTTGTTGGAGCAGAAGGAAGCGCGGAGGACACGACCAGGGAGGAGGGCTTCGCTTTCAGCGTGGAGGCCCGCAGGGAAGATGGTGGCCACCCCGCCGCTGATCATGCCGTGGTGGCCTGGAGCGAAGGAGGAGTGCATGTCCAGCGCGCTGTTGATCTTGTTGCATGAAGGCGCGGAGCTGCGCGCGGTCCTAGTGCACCTCCTGCATGCCCAGGATCATCTTGCTAAGGGGGAGGGTCTGGAGGCACGCAGTCTTCTCGATGACTTCGGCCCTGGTACCCGAAGAGTGCACGAGCATTCCAGGTGCCGACGACCAGGCTCGGTGATGGGGCCGCAGGCAAGTGCCCGGGTGCCCGGGTGTCCGGGTGCCCTGCATGGTGCCCGGGTGCCCGGGTGCCCGGGTGCCCGGGTGCCCGGGTGTGTGCCCGGGTGCCCAGGTGCCCGGGTGCCCGGGTGCCCGGGTGCCCGGGTGCCTGGGTGCCGGGGTGCCCGGGTGCCCGGGTGCCCGGGTGCCCGGATGCACGGGTGCCCAGGTGCCCGGATGCCCGCGTGCCTGGGCGCCCGTGTGCCCGGGTTCCCGCCCGGATGCCCGGGCGGAGGAATAGTCTGATTATGAAATGAATCGGATCGGCGGAAATCGGCAGCCGAATCGGGAGAAGTCGAGTCGGCTGAAATTGGCAGGCTAGTATGCCTCCAATAAGAAATCGGAACCCAAATCGGAATCCCAAGTCGAATCGAATCGGAATCGGAAGCCATCGAAGTCGAGTCGAGCCGAATCGGAGGCATCGAAACGAGCCCTGCCTTGACCCACACCAGTTTCATCTGCATGTGCCTGCCCCACTGGACGACCACGCACAGCTTCTGGGGCGTCTCAGCGTCTCTATCCCCTAAGATAAACAAGTCCCTGCTGACGGAGAAGCCGAGGAGCACCCAAAGCGCAAAGAGCACTATGGCCCAGAGGAGGATCGCCGCCTGGAATTGAAAGAAGAACACCGCGCCAGGCCCAGCCACGTGCATAAAGTTGGAGCTGCAGAGGTTGGTGCACAGTGGGTAGAGCTGTACTCTGTCGCCCTCCGCATTGCTTGACGAAGAGTATTCGCCGCCGCCGCCGTCAGCAGCAGCGGCGCCAGCGCCACTGTCAGCAGCGATGCCTTCATCATCAGCATTGCTCTGAATATGGCCCTTGGTCGCGCTACTCGGCATGATAAGTTTAGTGAGAGCGCGGCACTGCAGTCCACGCGTGACGGCTTTCTCATTCACCATTGGGCGAAGGGCAAGGTTAACATACCAAAGAACCGCCATGACAGTGAAGATGACTGCGGTCACAATGATCGAGTTGAAGATTAGATCTGAGACGCCCCAGCATTCCCCATCCCTCATTATGTGGCCAGGCATGCATTCCACGCATCCCTCCTCGTCCTCATCCCCGGCCCTGCTGTGCTCGCATGTGGGACACCCCTCGACACGGCAACGCCGACAGACGTGCTCTTTCTCGTCCGCAGTCGTGGCCTCTGGCATCGTGCCGGAAGCCCCACACTCTGGCCCTCGCACACACTTGAATCGGGGAGACGTAAGACCAGGGTACGGGGGACTCGGAAATCCCCGACGAGGTCGTCAAAAAAATGACGAGGCCGAGCCTGCACTTTGACGAGGCCTCCCGCTGCAGACATCCCACGAAACTCCTACTCGTCAAAATCCGAGTCGCGGTCGTCAAAAAAAAATGGCGAACCCGAGTCCTGGCAAACCCGGGTTTTACGCTCCCCCGATTGAAATGGCAGAACTTGTCCTGTGACTCCGCGGCAAAGGGGCAAGACTTCGGGCAAAAACTCCATCGTGCGCGAAAGACTCCCGGTTGCACACGTCTGCCGGGCCAGCCTCGCCGGCTGCCGACACGGATGCCCCAAAGTGGCCGCTGCGCCTGCTGTGTCGACACGAAGCTCAATCATCGTTTCATGATGGTGATCTTCATGACATCTCTGCAAATGCCGCCGTTGCCCATGATGCTCGTGCTGCTGATAGTCGTGGTGGCCTTGGTGGCCCTGGTAACGCTGGTGCCCGTGACCATGGCTGGAACCATTGGAACGGCGCGCTGCAAGGTGGCCTCCGGCAAGAACGCTGAGGCTGTGTGTAGCGGTGTTGCCGGCATTCGCTTCCATAGCACTGACGTTGTTGGAGGTCCCCCGAGTTTGCTCCTCCGCCGTCTCCGAGAAGAAAGGTCGGGCCCCCGACGCGTGGACGAGAAGCAGAGCAAAAAGAAATGCTACAAGGTCTCGTTTTGTCATGTTTTTGCATCCACAGAGTTGCACAGACATACTTATTGAATTGCCTTAGCTCAGAGGCCTGTGGTAAAAGCTCGAGTCAGAGTGGCGTCGGATGGAAAGGGGGATTGTGAGAGATGAGGATAAGCAGCAGCAGGAAACGGAGCTGGACGAGGGAGGAGCAGCAGGAGCAAGACAACCATTTTTTGGGTGACGTGCCCTTGTCGACGATTCGGCCTCGAGAACACCCAAGGCGCCCCATGAAGCGCCCAGGAGGGAAACAGGCGGCCCCTATGTTCTCAAGAAGGGCCGAGGGGCTTCCAAGACGGCCCCGATACCAGAGCCCCGAAATACAGCCCGCGAACGGGTCCCAGGAGCATGGTTGGGATTCCACCCTGGTCGCATCCCCCAAGCTGGCCCCCAGACCCCCCACAGGCCCACAAGTGGCCCCAGGGAACTCCCCAAGAGGCCCATTTCAGGCCTCGAGGGGCCTCTAAGAGGCCCCCAACAGGGCCGTGCGAGGCCCCGCTTAAGACCTCAAGACACACCCAAGAGACCTCCGAGTGACCCCAGAGTGACCCCCAAAAGCTTCAAAGAGGCCGCCCATAGCCCCACCATCCGATGGAACCGCTCTGTGCCCCATCATGTTCGTGGGAGATCTCATTGAAACCATTCGGAGAAATAATTGGGAATGCCGAGGAGAAGCGGGGGAGGCACCTCACTTCTCTGAAGAACAGGTTTCCCCAACCATGCTCCTACGAGTCTTCGGCGAGGGCTCCCCAGGAACATGGCTGGGAATACATCTCTTATGTCGTTCCTCAAGAGTTGGCTTGTGCAGCGATTGGCACGCATATGCTAACTAGAACCACACGCGCGCGCTTCGCGCGCGCCCCAGGCTGTGAGCAAATTTACAAATCCTCTGAAGTTGTTACCCACACATGGTTTGAACATGAAGTACAACAAAGCGTCAAAAAAAACGCAAGCCGAACAAATATGACTTACCGACAATGGCACACCCATGTAACGTAATGCAATGCGAACCAATGCAAAGCAGTGAAGAGAATGGAGTGCCCACACTGGTGCTGCAATGCAGCGCAGTGCCCTGGAAACCCGATGCAAACGCCATGCAGCGAGAAGCATTGCAAGCAAAAGCTCGCAAAGCAAATGTCAGGCAGAGCAATGTGATGCAGTACAAATAATGCCTAGCAGAGCAATGCTCACCACCACAATGTGGTTTGCGGAGCCATGCCAGTGCACTTCCGTCGGAAAGCCACCAAGTGAAATACACTGCAATACAATGCCCAATAATGCAAAAAGCCGTACGAACCCGAGGGCTTCGAAGCTCAGAGATCCAGGGGATCTCGTGTGCTAAATGACGGGTAGATGCCCCTATTCCGCCGTCGGTAAGCCTCCAGATGAAGCTAGCGCACCAGCTCGTCCGTCTCCTCGTCTCCCTCCTCCTCCTCCTCCCTCTCGCAACCGAACCTCTGGCCGATCGGCCGGCCCTCGCAGGCGATCGTTCAGATTGCCACACAGATTTCGCACGGGGAAAAGGAAAAGTAACGAATTGCCCCCCCCCCCCCCCCCCCAGGCTGCCGGGCAACGACTTTCACAGGTAGCCCCCAGTCCATGAGCCCCAGCCAGGACAAGCTATATGTTTTCTGAGTCGGCCTCGGGGGGGCAGGATTTGTCCGCTCGCATGCGGCGGTAATCTGGAGGCCACGTCAGGCCCAAATCCCCTGAAGCCTACAGCATGATCCGTGGGATGTGCATGTCCACAACTGCCTTTTCCTCATCCCACTTCAGGGGATTATGTTGCAGCTCTTCCACTGCTTTCTCCGAAGGTCCAGGGCCTAATTCCTGGGCGGTTCCTGTTGACCGCGTCTCGCCCCTGGGGGGGGGGGCGCCTCGGGACACCCCAGCTTCAACCTTGAGCGCCCCCTGGGCACTTCCCCCTAACCGCGCCTCGCGGCCGGGGGGGGCGCATCGGGACACCTCGGCTTCAACCTCGGGCACCCCCTCTTGACCGCGTCTCGCGGCCGGGGGGGCGCCTCGGGACGCAGCTTGGCTTCAACCTGAATGGGCCCCCGGGCACCCCCCATCGACCGTGTCTCCGGGCCAAGGGGTCGCCTTTGTACACCCTGGAAGGAGGCGAGGTGTGGCGGGCGACGGGCCACGAAAATGCGCCTCCAGTGAATCTACGCTGGTTCCTAGCTCATCCAGGCTAGCGCGCCTCCTCCTCCTCCTCCTCCTCCTCCTCCTCCTCCTCCTCCTCCTCCTCCTCCTCCTCCTCCTCCTCCTCCTCCTCCTCCTCCTCCTCCTCCTCCTCCTCCTCCTCCTACTCCTCCTCCTCCTCCCTCCTCCTCCTCTCCTCCTCATGAATAACTCCTCCCCGTCGCACCCCAAGGCAGGTCGAAAGGACGGGCCGGGCGTTTCGCCTGAAAACTCCTTACTATTTAGAGCCTGAAGCGTACAAGCTGGCAACAGCTCCACAGATGAAGGGCGGCCGGTTGTCAAAATGTTGCTCTCGCCTTATTAGCGCCGCGCACAACCGTCTTAAAACATTCAAGGGCTTCACGGATTGAGGGCGGCTGGCTTTCAAAATGTGGTTCGCGCCTTAGCGCCGCGCACATTCTTCCTAACAAATTCAAGAGCTTCACGGATTGAGGGCGGTTGGTTTTCAAAATGTGGTTCGCGCCTTAGCGCCGCGCACATTCGTCCTAACAATGTGCAGGAGCTTCACGGATTCAGAGCAAGTCGTTTTCAAAATGTGGCCCTCGTTTGTAAACAACGCAGGAGCTTCATGGATTGAGGGCGGGTCGTGTTCATAATGTGGCTCTTGTCTTAGCGCCGCGCACCTTCGTTTGACACATTTGCAATAATTTCATGGATTGAGGACGGCTCGCTTCAAAATGCGGCTCTCGCCTCGGCGCCGCGCACGTTCGTTTTGACAAGTTGCACGAGTTGACTGGCTCTCTGGTTAACGTAGGGAGCATGGTATTTGGCAACAATTCAGGAATGGCAATGGCGCAAGAGGCGCCAGAAATGGTGTTTTGGCACGATGCAAGATCGCCAAGACGCGCCAGGAAGGTCACCTCGTGGCGCTGGACTCCTGAAAATGGTGTTTGGGCACGCTCCAGGACTTTCACACACACACACACACACACACACTTGTCCCCCTACGGGGCAATTCCCTCAGTGGAAATAAACCTTCGTGGAGGTCCATGAAGAGGAAGTTTAGAGGTAGGCTGGATTCCATCATCGTTGATGAATATTGGTTTTACGTTCGTCATCCTCCTCCTACTCCTACTCCTCCTCTTCGTCCTCCTCCTCCTCCTATTCCTCCTCCTCCTCCTCCTCCTCCTCCTCCTCCTCCTCCTCCTCCCTCCTCCCTCCTGCTGTCTCCTCCTGCTCCTCCTCCTCCCTCCTCCCTCCCCCCCCCCCCATCCATCTGATATTTGTATCCCGTCTCCTCCTCCTCCTCCTCCTCGTCTCCTCCTCCTCCTCCTCCTCCCTCCTCCTCCTCCTCCTCCTCCTCCTCCTCCTCTCCTCCTCCGCCTCCTCCTCCTCCTCCTTTTCCCTCCCCTCCTCCTCCTCCTCCTCCTCCTTCTCCTCCTCCTCCTCCTCATCTGGTTAGTATCCTGCCAGTGCTCCTCCTCCTCCTCCTCCTCCTCCTCCTCCTCCTCCTCCTCCTCCTCCTCCTCCTCCTCCTCCGCATCCTCCTCCTCCGCATCCTCCTCCTCCTCCGCGTCCTCCTCCTCCCCCTCGTTATCAGGTGCGTTCTGGCCCCGATCGGGTTAAACTCAACCGTGGCGATGAAAGCGCCCTGCGAAACACAACCCAGACACAAAGAAAACCATAAGGATTTCTCAAGTTTCCAACCCTGCTCTTCCATCGACGACGGAGAAGTCGGAGGGAGATGGGAAGGATCGTGTTGGCGTTTAGGGCGGCCCCAGGAAGGCGTGCATGATGGCCACGAGTGGGGTATGGGGTAACCCAAAGGAACTGAAAAGCCCGAAAGACAGCACGGCCACATCTTGCGAAAACACTCAGAACGGGTGAGGAAGTGGAGCTTGGAAGTGAGATGGAGAAGGTGCGAAGTAACAGACCAAAGCGGCAGGAGCTGGGAAGGCCAAGGAGAGTGAGAAGGAGCGTATAACACCATGCTGAGAGTCTCTGTGGATGCCTTTCAGGAAGGTTTTTGGAGGACCCTTTGAGAAGTTAACTGGTCGCTTGGAAAGCATCTGGGAGGTCTTTTGTCATACTTGCAACTTGGAGCCTCTATGGAGACCTCTTGATGTTTCTGGGGAGTGTTTGTGAGGCCCCTCGGGCGCTCCGGAAGCCTCTTGGAAGTTAGCTGGGGCCCTGCTAGCAGTCTCGGGGGCCATCTTCGGGGGGAGGGTTCGCTCTGTGAGTTCGGGTTCTGCCTTTTGTGCTCCTTTTGGGGCTCGCCTGGGGCGTTTTGGCCTTAATTTGGGACCCTTCTTGGCTGGTGTGGGGCCCTGTCAGAGGCCTCTTGGGCCGTCTTGACAGGTTCTGGGGCTTCTTAGGCTGTCTTAGGAAACCGGAATCGTAAGGGAGCGAGAACACGAAAATCCGCAAGAAAACCCTAAGGGACATCCATTGTTGTTGTTGTTTTTTGGTGCCTTCGACCCATCCCGCCACCACGCGTGGGTTGTAGGATAGAGATATCGTGGGCGGCCTTTTTCGGTGGCCTTTTGAATCAATTTTGGCGCCACTGGGGGGCCGTTTGGGGGCCTCGTGGGCCCTGTTGGGGGCCTCCTGGAGCCTCCTGGGGGCTTCTTGGGGCGGAAGACTCGAATTGTCGGTTCGTGTTTCCCCTTCTTGGGGTCGTCCTGGCGCCCTCTTGTGCCGTCTTGGGCGCCTCTTGAGCTGGTGGGGCCCTGCTAGCGGGCTCGGGAGCCGTCTCCGGCTCGCTCTGTGAGCTCGGGTTCAGCCTCTTGCGCCCCTCATGGGGCTCTCCCGGAGCGCTCTTGGGATGAATTCGAAGCCTTCTGGACCGTCTTGGGGCCCTGTCGGGGGCCTCTTGGGCCGTCTTGACAGGTTTTGGAAGTTTCTTCGGATGTCTTGAAAAATTGGAATCGCAAGGGAGCGAGAACACTAAGCTCGTAAGAAAAAACCATGGGACATCCATATGCGTTGCCTCTTGGCGCCTTCGGCCCATCCCGCCACCGCGCGCGGGTTGTGGGTTCGAGACGTCTTGGAAGTTCCTTGGGATATCCTCGAGGCCTCTAAGGGTTTTGAATCCCCTGGAGGGCGCTTGGGGGCCTCTAAGGGCTTCTTTTGGGCCTGGGGGCCTCTTCTGGGCCTCGCGGGGGCCCCCGAAGCCTCCGGGGCGCCTCTCGGGGCGGAAGACGCGGACTGTTGGCTCGCATTGCCCGTCGTGGGCGCCCCTCCTGCCGTCTCGAGACACCCTTGGGCCGTCTTGGGCGCCTCTAGGGCCGCCTCGGGGCCCTCTCGCGCCGTCTTGGGAGACTCTTGGGGCCCTCTCTGGGGCCTCTCGGGCAGCCTCGGGGCAACGTTCGAAGCGTTGCGGGGCGATCTAGGGGCGTCGGAAGCACGAAAACGCGAGGGCGCGAAAAAAAATGAAGCCCTCTTGGAGGTCTTCTCGGAGCGCCCTCGGGGCCTCTTCGGGGCCTCTCGGGCCATCATCGCGGTGGCCTCTCAGGCCCTCTGGCGGCCATCTTTGACCGTCTGAGGGAAGTCTCGGCGGCTTCTGGGAAAAATCTCGGCGGCCCGCGGGCGCCCCAGAGCCCGCGCAACGGCCCGCCGGCCTCCGGGAACTAAATTTGACGCCGGGGGGGCGGGGGGGGGCGGACCGCCCCCGGGCCGGAGGGGGCCGTCGCCAAACACATCATGCACGGGGCGGCCCCCAGGAGCCCCCACGGGAATCCCGAAGGGCCCCCCAAGAGCACTCTGAGACGCCGCCCAAGATACCTTCAAGGACCTGCGCTCCATTCGCCCGAATCACCTTCATTCCAGCGGCGGGAGTTCTCCGCGGCATTTCTGCGGCGCCCGCAAGTCACTCAACTTGGCGACATGGCAGCGATCCCAAACTCGTCAACGTAGACATCTCCAACCAATGGGCGGCTTACAACCCAGTGCTGGACGCCTGTCTCCCGCGCCGCCATGGCTGCGTAGATGGGCGGAGCGAGAGAGGCCCGGTTACGCTCCGCGCCCCCGGGTTGTCGGGCGGCCAACAAGCGCCGCCATCGATGCTCACTGATCGTCGGCGGTCTGCCGTGCGGATTGGTGCCTGGATGACACCATGCGGGCGTGGCCCCCGACGTCGCTTCTCCCGCGCACTCCCCGCCCGGTTCCTCGCCTGCGTCTCCAAACGCTTCAAGTCCTGCCGCGCGCCTTCCTTGTTGCTCTTTAATAAAAAGCAATGCTTCTAGCCGATCTGGACCCTGATCTGCCCACGGGCGCCCTTCAACCCTTCGCGGCGGCGCCCCTGCGGCGCCCGCGAGAGCAGCGCCAGCATCGCCCCGTCGCCTGCCCCGATCGCGCAGAACGTCGTTCCATCATCGGGGGGCCATCGGGCCTCCAGCGCTCGAAGCGCCCCCCGCCTTCTATCCAACGCAGGACTGGTCCGCGACAGGCGGGGCATAGGGCGGGGGGCCCGCGCCCAGACGAGGGCCCGCGCGGCCGCGCATCGGCAGCGGAAGACGCGAGGGGCAGCGCCACCCCGATGAACAGGAGCGCAGGAGCTTCGATGCTGTCGAAACAAATCTGACAAAAAGAACCCACCCCAGGGCCGCCTCCAAACGCGAGCGGAGAGCAAAGGCGCCTTCTGCTGGAGCACCTTCGCGCGGATTTGCTCCGACGGCTAAATGAGGATTCCGAATCCGCGCGAGATGCGCCATCGCCGCGGCCGGCAGGGCCAATTTGGCGCGTCCCCCGCCGAATGAGAGCTACAGGCCGATAGGGGGTGTAGACGCCCATTTGCCGACATGCCTCCGACGCCGCGTGGAGCGATTCGTCGCGAATATGTTCTGTCGATCAGCACCTGAGAAAAATGCACTCTATAGTAGCGTGGAAGGAGTAGCCATATCCCCGTGGTTGGTGATCCATTATTACGGGTCGTCGCGCAACGCGTTCGATGCTCGCGCGGAGTTTGCCAATTGCGCGGCAACCGCGCAGTCGACCGAGGAGCCCTCGCCTGGGAATGCGAACCAAAAACGAAATCCCACCCCCTCCCCATGCATTCCACACGCGGTGTCCTATCATTCTCTGACTGTCCGCCATGCGTCCACCCATGTCAGCACATGCGTTCCGCAGCTCTTCCATGTCCAGCCGAATCGGAGGAATTGGCGTGACCGGCGGCCATCAAGTCACCAGCACGTGCGAGCCCCTTTGTATAAGTTCGGGCCCATTCCGTCGAGAAGCTCTTCGAGGCTTCGCCAACGCCCCGCTGCCGTCAACCAGATGAGCGGAGCGAAGAGGGGGCTCCACGTAAACCCGGCGCCCGCCAAGTGCAGCCCACGCCCGCGCCCGACCTCCATTCCCTCCTGGCGCGCCTCAGTCCCCCCACCTCTCGGCCATGTTCTGCCCGGTCTTGCACCCGCCCTCCAACTGGATCCGCGCAGTGACAGGCGGGCACCTTCGCGGTCGGAGCGGTTGGTCGCCCCGCGCTTCCTCTGCCCCGCCAAGGGACTGCCCCGCCCGAGGAATTTCCGCGCGCGTCGACGCGCCCCTCGAGAACCCCCTTGGCGCGAGATTGGGAGAGAGAAACTGCGCGGCGCGAGGGTCTCGAGCTTCCCGGGGCCACCTAGCCGCGCATCCTTCTGCATTCACCACGGCGCGATGCGCTGCCACGCATGCGCGGCCAACCATTTCCCAGCTAAGGCCCGCCGATCGCATGGGGGAGGCTGACCGGGGCTTGCCTTGCAAAGGAGGCCCTCCTTGCCCTGGCCGCCATTTGACAAGGCTCACATCGCGCGAAAGCAACTGCCCTGGTCATCCCCCGAGCGCCATGGCTTTGCAAGCGCTGACATTGGCCAAACAAGTCGGGGCCACTGGCTCGCCGCCCCCGCCGCGCGATCAATCGGCGAGCCCTCTGGCGCGCAGGCCCTGCGAACGAGGGGCCCCGCGAAGCCCCCCCCCGGCGGGGCGGCTGCGAGTCAGATACTTTGGCTCATTGCAGCTCGCCATTCGCCCTCATGCCCCCGCATTCGCCGCCCCCGCTGCCGCCGCCGCCCGGGCGTCGCGGCGGCCCCCGCAGCAACTTGCCAAACTCTTTCCAGCTGGATCGTCTGAGATTCCTTCTGGGGCACCGTAATGGGAGAAAAGCAGGGCCAGTGATCAAGCGCCAACTGGATGCCTCGCTGGGCCAGGGGGCGATCTCAATGGCGCGAAGCGATTGACTTCCTCTGAAAGCGATTCGCGCTGCCTGCCCAACCGCGCCCCCGCGCCAATTGATTAAAAAATATAGCCCCATGGTCTGGCAATGCTCCGCGGCCGACCCGGGCGCGGCACATCCATCTGATTGACCGGTCTTCTCGCCATGGCCCGAATTCCGCACGCGTAGCCGAACGACGCCCGGGTACCCCACGGGTCCGAACAGGCGCCGTGGACGCGCCGCCATACCTGGCGAGCGCCGTAGAGCTCCTAGAATGGTCGCCCCCCTGTCGACGCTGGAGTCCTGCCGACGCGCCCCCACCAGCAGCGCATCCCAAAATGCGCAGAGCCCATCCAGCAGGGCAACGCGACCCTGCGCGCCTGCCCAGTCCACCCGCATCGAAACCCGTTGTTCAACCCAAAGTGCAACCAGGACATCATGGAGAGCAAGCGCGCTATCCGGCCAACATCCGCGATCTGCCGCATGGGTTCGGACGCGAACGAGCGCAGTCAGCGCCGCGAGACGTGCCCGCGCGGCAGCGATCGGGAAGGGCTCGCCCCGCGCGCACCTGTCCAAGGTGCCTGTAGAATGTGCAATAGCATACCCTGCAGAGCGATTTTCGACCGAGAAAATACCGGGAGCGATGCCTCGTCTGCACCCCCCCATCCATGTGCGCCTACCTGTGCGTGGCCCACCATGGGATTATCCTCTTCTCCTTCATGGATCGTGCATGGGCGTGCGTAGAGCCGCTTTGACCCTAACACTGGGTCGCGGTTCCTCTGGAAGAGGGGACGTCGCGCACGTGGGCGTCGCCCCCCGGCCCCGTCCAGAGGCGCATTGGCGCCCAGCGGCATGCCCTCTACGACTGCAGCTAATTGTCCGAGCTGGGTTGATCGCGGCGGCGCCGAACCGCGACCATGACCTCGATGGGTCTGGGACCTGGTTCCGCTAGAAAGCGGATCAGAGCGACGCGCGGAAGCCCGCCCGCTTGCACTCGGCACTCGACGGTAGAAAGGAAGTCCTCGTTGTGATATCCCTTATCAAATCGTGCTGACTGCCTGCATCTCGCGGGGAGCTGCACCGCTCGCCCGCCAGGTCCTGCCGCTGCCCGCACAGCCAATGCCTGCAGCGCGCGGAACTGGCGGGCGGAAACCCAAAGGGCTCCCCAGATGGCACGAACGATAAGCGCGTCTTTAGCGCATACCGCCCACGCGCCCTCCGTCGCGGACGCATCAGGGCTGGCGGGCAGCGAAGGGGGCGCGGCCGACGACGACTCGCCGACGACATCGTCCTCCTCGCAATGGTCCTGATCTACCACAGACGGGTCTCCGTCCCACCCAGAATCCTCAGCGTCCGCGGCGCCCTCAGTAAGGCTGAGACCTACAAGTTCTGGCACTTCCGCTCGTGCGGAACGTCGTTCGCAACTGCCGATGGGCACGAATGGCAAATGGAGCCGGCATGTCTGAATGATTACTTCAACTGCACTCCGCCTTCCGCTGCTCGTCAGCCGCGGGGCATCAGACGCAGCGAACCCTGCAATGTACAACAGGGGGGGGGAACTCCTCATTGGCCCGAACAAGCTGCTTCGTTGTAGGGATGCGTCCGACAGCCCGTGCTTCTTCGAAAAGGTCATTGGTAGCCGTTTCGCAAAGTAGGTCCTCCACCTGCTGTCGCGGGAACCACGCGATTTTGTCTGGCGCATTGTTGCCAACAGCTCCCCCGTCGCAAAGAGAGACCTTGTGCTGGCCGCGTCTCGATAGAGCTACCGCCGCCCTGGCCGCCCCTGACTCGCGAGCCCCTTGGGTCTCTCGTCAAAGGCTTCAAATAGCTCAGGCGGCCGATCTTCCGGGATTCTCGGAGCCCCCCGAGTGAGACGCGCGCAAAATGGCAAAGCCCTACACGAGGTACTGGGTTAGGTAAGCAGCTGCGCAGTTAACAGCAACAGCTGGCGCAGTTGCCAGAGTTGACGATGCCCTGCAATGGCGTAATATCACGTGTCTCATCGGTGGGGCGGCAACCTCTGGCGAGGCGCAGTACTCGCCGCTAGTATCTCTGCCCTGCCCGCACGCAAATAAGCTGCACCCGCCCTTGATCTTCCCTCGGCGGCTCAAGCACCTGCCGGCCCAGTCCGACCCCAAGGACCTCCGGGAGCGCCACGAAGAGATGAGGCCCGCGCGATGGGAGCGCATCCTGATACGGTGTGGATATTGGAGGGACATCTGGATGTGAAACTGCGTCCGATAGCTCCTGCTGTCCAAGAAAGCCCTTTCAAATTATTCTTGCGCGTGTTGGGAAACTTCCGTTGGATGCTCTTCGCAGCAAGCATGCAGCAGTGGGTGGCGCATACGTATCACCCGCATGACGAGGACTCCGAGTGATGTCGCATCTACGTACAGCTGTAGCGTCCGCTGAATGTTTGTATGCTCCTAGATGAATCCCCAAATGCTGGGAATATTCGTACCATCTGGAATAAGTGGTGCGCCGCCTTCGGTTTGTGGGACAGGAGCCATGGGAGGCAGAGGCCGTTGGCTCTGCCATCATAGTAAGGGCGACGCGTGGCGCCGCACATCCGTCCCTGCCACTGCTCCTGACACTGAGCATGTTCGTGGGCATTGAGGCCGTGACATTCCCCACATTCCCACGCAAAAACCATGTCGCGCTCCTCTGGCACGTCCACGCAAGCCCATGTTTCATAGTTGGCGGGGTACATTTGGCAGCAGTGTGGGTGACACTGGCGGTGCGCGTTCCCATCATGTGTAAACACCATGATACGAGCAGGCGTAGCGTATTGAATTTCGCAGGGCCGCACTCAAAGAAATGCTGCCGATCCAAGCAAGTCAGATCGGTTAGGGAATGATCCTCCGACAAGGGGTCCGCCATCGCATCAGTTTCGCTGTTGGGGCGTTCCTCCGACAGGAGGGGGCAGCATCAGAAAGAGGCGCATGTCCGTCGTCTCGAAAGCCATCACCAGCCTGGGAGAGCGAACTGCCTCGGCCTCTGTCGCCTGCACTTCCAGCGCCTTCCCCGTCATCGCCCATGCCGCCCAAGCGGCTTGGTGGACGACACAAGCTAGCTCCTGGCTGGGCAGCCACCTACGGGAGCTAGCGTGTGTGCGGGAGCGCTGGCCCTTGAGCCCTGACCCCAGGGGGGAGGGACGCCCCCAGGAGACGGTTTGAGCCAAAAGGCTTGAGCCAAAGGCCACGGGCGAACAAACACACACACACACAGCTGCTGATTATGCGTGCGTGCGTACATAGATAAGTAAGTGACATACACATGTTTATAAATTCTACAAATTACATGTTATAGATAAAACACATACACATAAGCGGCACGGGAAGACTGGCACAACGCGAGGGCGCAGAAACGCGAGACCACCTGGGCCTGCGGGCTGGGCTTTGGG